AGCATCCAGGCCTCCACAGCTTGGTGCAGGTCCTGGAAGGGCATCGCCATGGGCTCCGGCTCCGTGACGATGCCCTCGTCCGTCACGCTGGACTCGTGACCCGACAGCTCCTCCACGGATTTACTGCGGGCGAGGTTCTCCTCCGACTGCACTTCCTTCAAACACCCTGCGCTCTCCACCTGTCCCCGAAGGGTCGTGTCTGTCGTCCCTGTCGGTGCCACCCCCTCAGCACCCTCCACACCTCCGCTGTCCTTCTGCTCGGCAGCAAAGCCATAATCCTGCTGGGAACCCATCCTGCTGATCTTCTCGAAGACCTGCCTCGCCTCCTGGATGTACTGATCCTGGATGACCATGGGGAGAGCCTCCTCGTCCCCCCGCTGCCCCCCATCCGGAGCCACCCTGTCCTGGCTGTCGGTGGTGGCCAGGAGGAGCTCGGAGGAGCTCTGCTTCATGGTGCTCTGGAGGAAAAGCCGCCGCGTCCCGGATTTTTCGGAGCAGGTGAAGGACTTGGCGCGGCGCAAAGTGGCCGTGAGGTCCTTGAGCGTTGGCCGCTCACCCGGTGCCCAGCGGTTGGGGGGGTGAGCGGCCCCGCAGCCGCCAGGGGAGGGGGTGGTGGTGCCAGAGCATCCGTCAGAGCCCGAGTCCAGGCTGATCCTCACCCCTTTCTTCTTCACCTTCAGCTCTGAGAGGTCTGATTTCAGGAAGCTGAGGAGTGTCAGGGTCTCGGTGGCAATGTCGGGGTTGGACAAGGACTTGCGGTGCTCGGCCCGCTCCCCCTCCGGCCCTGGCTGCTGTAGGCTCTCGCTCCCACGGTCCGGTTTGGCCTTGGCCATGCCCTGGGGCAGCTTGGGGCGGGCGCGGACCCCCGGCTGTGCCCAGGCCAGGCCATCGCTGGTCCCGAAACTGGGCGACCGATAGATCCCGTACCCCGCCTGGAGAGTCCTCCCTTGACTGGGCCAACACATCCCAAACTGCTCCTCTTCCTTCAGCGTCTCCGTGCTGGAATACCGACTGCTGCTCCGCGACCCGCCGGGGCTGGCGAAGGGCAGGATGTTCACCTTGGAGACACGGGCCACCACGGGCAGGGGGTGCCGGGGG